CCGGTGAACAGTGACCCCGACGTGAACAGTAACTCCACTCCCATCAATTGGCCAAAACACTAACTAATCTCACGGGATTTTCTCCAAAAATCACAGCAATCAACTCAAGCAATTTACACATGAATTAAGCAACAAAACACACTTAAAACCCCTCTTAATTGCTACCGGAATTTCCCCATTTCCTAGCCAAATTCGGACATCACACGGCAGCAAACTAATCAAGCTAATTCTACCTTAATCAAGCTTAAAAACAATAGTTTAAGGCTGCCACATACCAGAATTTACAAGCAAGGAACTGGAGCTAGCAGATTGGGGAAGGCCGGCGGGAGTGCAGTGGAGAAACTCACGGGCTATCCAAAATTGAAGGAAATAAGAGCAATCAAAGTTAACCCAAGCCAATTCAAGGAAAAACAAAGGGATTTAATGGCTGTTTCTTACCCAAAACCCAAGCAATTCGCCCGCCACAAGCAGGAGCAGCCGGCGGTGAGGAGCAGAGCATAGCAGATCCGGTTTCTGCAGAGAGGGAGGGGAAATTTCTGGGTTCTTTATGGGTTCTAGAACAAGAAAGGAAGGGGAAAATACCAAGCTTTCTCACCAATTTTCCAAGGCATGGCTGGGTTCCTCTTTTCTTTTTCTTTCGGGTGGTTGCAGCGGGAAGAAAGGAGAAGAAGAGCAGAATCGGGCAAGGCTGGGAAGAAAAGAAAGAAAGAAAAAGAAAAAGAAAAGAAGTCATCCTTATCCAAAATCTTTCCCTTTTTAAGTCCCTCAACTTTTAGAATATTCACATTAGACCTCAAAACAATCTTTTCTCACAATCAAGTCCTTAACTTACACTTAAATATTCCCGAAAATTTGGGATATTACAGTTATGGTTGAGGTTGAAAATGTATAATTGTTTTTAACATGGTAGAATTGTAGAATATATGTGTTTTTCATTGCAAATGTAAGTTAAAAAAAATTTGTTTTTGTTCTTTTTTTTGGGAAACTTTTTTCAATTTTTTTTTTTTATTTTTTGCCACTTAAATTGCCCAATTTGGGAAAATTTTTTGGATTAATTTTTAATTTTTTGCTTTTTTTTATAACAAAATTGTAGAATAGCAATTGTAGATTTAAAACATGTTATCATATATATAGGGGAATTTTGTCAAATTTTTTAAAATTTTATGTCTACTAAAATGATTAAAATATAAGAAATCTGTTAGATAAATTCAAAAAATGGCATAAAAATGGACGAAATCCTGAAAGGAAGTTAGGGAAAATCAATGAAATCTAAAAAGGAAGCTGGGGAAATTTTACCTGCCACACTACCAATGAGCTCCACGTCAATAACTCTCAATATCCCACATGCATTTTGTTGGCAAAGGAAAGTTGCCAATGTGATTTTAGTCGGTAAAATAGCTTAATATACCAATGCGAAGTTGGTTGGTAATTTGGGCACGAATTGCAAAATTTTTACTTTTTGGATTCCCGCCTTGCTTTAACCTACCTATGTGATCTTTGTCAATAAAATTAATACCAACTAACAACACATGGCTAAATTGGTTTATATATTCTTACCCCACCACTCTACCCAGCTTATTTCTTCTTACCTTCCTTCTTATTCTTCTTCTTTTTTCTTCTCCTCCGGTTGTGCCTCCTCTTTCTCTTCCATTCAATGTTGCTAGATTAATTGTTTATGCTTATAATTACATTATATTCATATAAATTTAAGTTTATATCTTTTCAATCTCCTCTCTTTTTCTCTTCCATTGTTTCTCCTTATTTGATTAAATACTAATTTGTGTTATTAATCAATTTATTTGCAATTTTAATTTTTCTTAATTTTGTTTTCCAGGAATCATTAGGAGTAAGTAAATTTCATTTGTGCAAATTAACATTCAATTTCATTTATATGTTGATTAGAGCTATTTTAGGGTTGAAATTATAGATAAATACTAACTTAATTTATGTTTCTTTATTTTCTTTGTACCAGAAATTGCAGGTTCAGAGCCTTATTTGGTCTTAAATTGGATACCCAATTTAACATTTTAAGGCATAAAGGTATTCCTTCAAATGTTAAACTAATACTCCTTATAAAATCACCCAAACTCTTTTTTTTTGCCCCTACTAAAATGAACTCGCACCAACTAGAAGAAACTTAATGAAAGTAAGGAATAGTCATTCTTAATTTTGCATGCAATAGGTTCCTTACAATTAACTGTATTTTATTTTTTTGGTGAATCTGTATTTTTATTTGTTTGCCCAAATCAAGTTTAATATTGTAAAAAACTTAGTGTATGGGTCGAAACACAAGGCAGGTTCTAACCAAAAGCAATAGATGGACCAATCCATCTTATATTTCCCGCCCATGTTTTTAAAATCTGATCGGATCAGTCGATTTAATCGATTTGACCATCATCCGGTTGATTAAACGAGTTGGGTGAACACTCAAATCTGTTTTAACGATCCGACCGTCCAAATCCAGAAAACCCGCTTGACCTGTTCAGCCCGATAGACCCAGTAAACCCGCCGGACGAATTCTCCATGCTGGACCTGTAACTTCCTTTATTTTATTTTATTTTATTTTTTTTGTGGTTTTTTTTCCTTCCATGATGGGTTCAAACTTCAAAGCTTGAATTTGTCGCCTCCAAAGTTCGAACACGTGACTTTGATTTTTCAATGAGTTTTGCCACTGGAGCATCACCTTCGGGATTGATATTTTCTGCCCAAAATTTTCGTTAACCAAAGTGACATTTAAGGAATCCAATTTCCATCAATTTTATCATGCTCTCAAGGGAAATATTGTTTGACTTTCATATTAAAATTAATATAAATTTCATTTAATTTACATTTTAAATATATAAATTAAAATATAATAAATATAATTTTTTATAATAATTTATATAAAAAATTATAAATGTTAATTTTAAATTAATTAATTAACAAATTAAAATGATTTACATGGTAATAGTGTTAAAATAAAGATTAATATTTATAATTTTTTATATAAATTATTATAAAAAATATATTTATTTCA